TCCAGAGTCGCTAAACAGGACTCGAAGCGAACGTGTGACCCCACCAATAGATTCCTCGTTCGGAGAGCAATCCATTGGTGGGGTCACACGTTCGGTTCGAGTCCTAGTTAGCAGCTCTGGAGCTCAAAACGCGTCTGGCTGGAATTGTGACCGCCTCCACCGGTCTCCTGACTCACTGTGCACCAGAATGCGCAGTGACCAAGTCAGACTTTCAGTCGACGTCTTGTTTTTGCTGTCGCTTTTTTTGCATTGTTTCTTTCCGTCACCGCGCGTCAAACTTTCGTGGACGCGGCTGGAAATTTGGCGCGGCAGTGGCGGTGGACTGCGTGGGGCCGTGGGTCCGAGGGGCAGGGGGCAGGGCTAGGCAGGGCGGGACAAGCCTCGCCGCTTCCTCGTTGGAGCGGAACCGGCGGCTGTTCCGTCGCTCTGTCTCTGTCGCACTCGTGGGCAGGTCCGCACGGGTGCGAGAGAGACAGAGCGACTTCGGAATCATTCGGCAGTGGTACGGCTCCAGCTATCACGCCACGCTGGAAAACAACGCGCCGTGCATCTGGTCGCAAAAAAGAGTGTTTTTTTCGCGTTTTACAGTGTGTGGTGGAGCGTGCCGCGTCCAGCCAGCGTGCTGCGTGTGTCATCCGACGTGTCGTTGCGTCGCAAGGCCGCTGCGTCAGACTTCCGGACAGCCGGCCTGCTGCAGCCACTTGGAGGCGTGGCGATGTTGCGGAATCGAATCGAATTGGCTGGTTCCTTTTCCAACACAGAACCAGCAGCCAAACAAAGTAAAGCCCCTTCCCCGCTCATTTGGGGCCAAGCCTGGCCGGGCACAGTGGGCCAGAAGACCGGTGGAGGCGGCCGAAACTCTAGACGCGTTTTGAGCTCCAGAGTCGCTAAACGGGACTTGAACCAACGTGTGACCCCACCAATGGATTGCTCTCCGAACGAGGAATCCATTGGTGGGGTCACACGTTCGCTTCGAGCCCTGTTCACCGACTCTGCAGCTCAAAACGCGTCTAGAGTTTTGTCCGCCTCCGCCGGCCTTCTGGCCCACTGTGGCGGGCCGGGCCGGGCCTGCCAGGAAGGGAGTGGACACTGGCTGCACTGGCGTGACGTCAAAGTGCGGCGGCACGATCGGCGCCCTGCCTGCGCTTCGCAGTGCTTCGGTGGCGTGACTACGACTCCCACGTAGGCTATCTGCCGCCACGGCACTGTTGCAGGCCACGCGGCACCACGCGGCACAAAAACAACGGACTAGCCCTAGATGCACGCCGCGGATCACAGCGCTACTGTTAATCGAGTCGCGTGGATGCCTCCCTCCAAGCCGGCGGAGGGCCGAGAGTCGTTTCCGTCGCTCTGTCTCTCTCGCACCAATACGGGACGAGCCGTGAGTGCGAGAGAGACAGAGCGAACGGCTCTCGTAATCAGGCTCGGACTGGCCAGGGCAGACAGGCAGAAAAATCTGCCGGGGCCATTCGGGTTTGGGACCAGTAACGTCACAAAGTTGGTCAAAGAGTCCTAGTATATATAGGACGAAAGTAGCCGTTTTCGCTGATTTTGGGCGGCCACTGCGTCCGATCTAATTGCGGTCAACGGCCTCCCTCGACGCCCTAGTATTCTTAAGACCCTACTCTTTCATGCCCTGTATCGGGAAGACGTTGACCACAACGATTTTGGCTTTGACCGCAACGATTTTCCGACCAAGTTGGTCAAAAAGTGGTTGAATCTCGGAAATTTGCTGATTTTGCTGACTTTGGGTGGCCACTGTGTCCAATCTAGTCGCCGCAAAAGGCCTCCCTCGACGTCCTAGTATTCTTAAGACCCTACTCTTCCATGCCCTGTATTGGGAAGACGTTGACCACAACGATTTTGCCTTTGACCGCAACGATTTTGGGACCAAAGTTGGTCAAAAAGTGGTCGAATCTCGGAAATTTGCTGATTTTGCTGACTTTGGGCGGGCACTGTGTCCAATCTAGTTGCCGTAAAAGGCCTCCCTCGACGCCCTAGTATTCTTAAGACCCTACTCTTCCATGCCCTGTATCGGGAAGGCTATTGACCGCAACTAGTTTGGGAGCGGTAGCCTCACAAAGTTGGTCATGAAGGGCAAAAACATAATGATGATCGGGGGCCTTTTGCGGTCTTATCCGCTGGGGCCTTTTGGGGGCCAGGGCCAGTCCGAGCCTGCTCGTAATCAGCCTGCAGGGCTAAAGCCAACCACGTGCTGGCTCCCATGGACCGGCCGGTGCTGCGCGCGGAATTCATCGAGGACTCTCATGCGTTTGATTCAAAGCCCGGTTTGAGGACGCCGGGGCTCCGACTGCACTGCATGGTCCTGTCCACGGAGGGAATCCTTTGGCTAGCCAATAAGAGGACCGCTCTTTGGCGGGAGATGCCAGCCTGGTCTTTGATTGGCTGCCGAGCCAGTCTAATGATGCGCCTGCCGGCCGACAGAGGAAAGCCCCCGGGCGGCACGGCACTGCCAGGCCAGGGCACTGCCAGGCCAGGGCACTGCCAGGCCAGGGCACTGCCAGGCCAGGGCACTGCCAGGCCAGGGCACTGCCAGGCCAGGGCACTGCCAGGCCAGGGCACTGCCAGGCCAGGGCACTGCCAGGCCAGGGCACTGCCAGGCCAGGGCACTGCCAGGCCAGGGCACTGCCAGGCCAAGGCACTGCCATGGCGTGCACAGACCACGTGACGCGATGACCGGGGTACCTGTTGCCGACCGCCCCGGGCCCAGCGCGGCCCAGACTGCCGTCTCTCTCGCACGGCCACGGGACGCGCCTCGAGTGCGAGAGAGACAGAGCGCCGTTCGGACTCGGTCTGCCGTGCCATCCATCAATGGCGGCGACGCGGCGACGCACAGTGGCGTGGCGCACTGCAGCTGCGACGTGGGACTCGAACCCCCGCACAGTGGGCCAGAAGACCGGTGGAGGCGGCCAAAACTCTAGACGCGTTTTGAGCTCTAAAGTCGCTAAATGGGACTCGAACCGAACGTGTGACCCCACTAATGGATTGCTCTCTGAACGAGGAATCCATTGGTGGGGTCACACGTTCGCTTCGAGCCCTGTTCACCGACTCTGGAGCTCAAAACGCGTCTAGAGTTTTGGCCGCCTCCACCCGTCTTCTGGCCCACTGTGCCCCGGCCTGCCGTCCTTTTCGTCGCTGTCTCTCTCGCACTCGCAGGGCGCCGCGTGTGCGTGCAAGAGGGACAGAGCGACTGCCTGCTGGGTGCTAATACTTTTCGCAGACAGAGACGGATCTGCAGACTGAATCCGAGAGTCGTTTTCGTCGCGCTCTCCCTCTTGCACTCGTAGGGCGTCTCGCACGAGCGCGAGAGAGACAGAGCGACGAAAACGACTCTCGGAGCCAGTCCGTGTGTGGAGCGCGTCAAGCACTGCGCCGGGCTGAAGGCTGCTGCGCGGGGCTGCGCTAGGCGTTGCGTAAGGTAATTGCACTCCACTGGAAGGTGAACAGACGCTATTTGCAGTGGAGCGGCTCCAGGCGGGTCTCGGCGCTTCGTCAGCCTTGGTCGTCGCTCTGTCTCTGTCGCACTCATGGGCCGTTCCCTATAGGTGCGAGAGAGACAGAGCGACGAAACGGTCCTACGGAGAGAGGCGGCTGCGCTTCCATCCAGCAACCGGACAAATCCAGCCTGGCAAGGGCGCCGGAAGTGGGGTGCGGGGGGGGCGACTTGACCCCCCCAAAATCTGGTGGGGGGGGCATCGCCCCCCCCACTTTCAGACACAAAAGTGCCATTTTGAGCTCGAAATAGAGAGAAAAATATAGCAAAGTCGCAAATTCTTTGATTTTCGGCTTCTTGCTCGCTTCGCTCGCAGGTTTTCTTAATTTTCCTCCATTATTTTGCCGTTTGGCTCGCTTCGCCCACCAATAAAGCGTGTGATTATGCTCTAAAAATGGCAAAAGTTGTGTTAAAGTCTAGAATTGTATGAATTTTCGCTTTAAGCTCGCTTCGCTCGCTGGATTTGGAACACTATTAGAGAAGTCTAAACCGTATTGGGTGTTGCCCCTTAACGGTAGGCAACACAACAATTTTTCATAAAAATTTCGCCCCCCCCACCAGAAAGTACTTCCGGCGGCCCTGCAGCCTGGCCCGCTCCTCGGCAACGTGTTGACCGGCTCCAATCGTAGCGCGGTTCGCGAGGCGTGGACTCTATTGAGTTGCGTGGTCACAAGATTCAGGGCCAACATTTCGGATCATGACACGTTTTGCCTGCTGAAGGCTCGTTGCCTACACGCGGAGGGGGCTTATGACCACCATGTCCCTCCCCCTCTGGAGTCGCCACTGTGACGCGTGTTCAAACATCAAGGAAAGTAAGACTTTCGGGCCGCCAGAGCAGGAGTCGGCAGCATTCCCACCAACCTCGACCAGTCCAGTCCAGCCACCTCCCGGACGGCGTGGAAGTTCCCGAAGACTGCTGTTCTGGGCCGGCGCCAAAAATCCGAGAGAAAACAAGAAAAACAGAAAGAGGCACTAATTGTAGGCGAGCTGTACCGGCCGAGCCGTGGAGCGCTGCGGAGTCGATGGTGGCGGAGGGAAGGGAAGTGCCCTGTTCGCCCTGCAGACTGCAGGCACACCCCACAGTGGGCCAGAAGGCCGGTGGAGACGAAAACCCCGCACGCGTTTTGAGCTCCAGAGTCGCTAAACGGGACTCGAACCGAACGTGTGACCCCACCAATGGATTGCTCTTCGAACGAGGAATCCATTGGTGGTGTCACACGGTCGGTTCGGGCCCTGTTTAGCTCAAAACGCGTCTCGAGTTTTGGCCGCGCCCACCGGTCTTCTGGCCCACTGTGCACCCCAAGTTCCCACAGACTCTCGTGACTATCTCGTGTAACGTCAAACACGGCCGATGTGGCCCGCCGCGCCGATACACCGATACAGAAGTAAGTCACCGAAGCAGCGACAACAAGAGCGGGGCCTTTGTCTCACTTTTACTTCCTTTTGATTTCAACAAAACAACAACAATAATAATAGCGAAACTTACAGCTCGACGCTCAAAGTAATCCAAAACTCGGCGGGTGCGATCAGCTCCGATCCATATCCACAGATCACAACGCAATGCACGCTACACTGTCACTTTCACTCTATTTCGTTGTTGGTTTTCTTTCTTTCGACACGAAATGAATCAAGCACCGTTTTATCGCGGTCTGCCGGAAGCGCTGGTCCAGCCCAGCCGCGCACGCGACACGCCAAGAGACACGGCAGCGGCAGCGCGAGTGTCTCCGCCGGAGCATCGAAACCGTCTGCACTGTAAACACGGCAAGCAGCAGACGCCGCGCGCCGCGCCACGCAGCGACTGGCGGGGCACGCCTGGCACGCCGAGGCGACAGGAGAGGGGGAGGGGGCGGCGAGGTGCTCGGAAGGCTCGGAGCGACGGGACGGACGGGACGTGAAGACGTGAACGTGGCGGAGAAAGGCGGACCGCAGACGGCCCGACAGACAGACAGACAGACAGACAGACAGACAGACAGCCGGTCTGACAGACGGATAGACGGACTGACAGACAGACAGACAAGCTGACAGACTGACAGACAGACGGACGGACGGACGGACAGACAGGCGGACGGGCGAGGCAGGTGATGTGCCGGTACCGGTTCGACGTGCTGGCTGTGCTGGCGGTGCACAGTGGACCAGAAGACCGGTGGAGGTGGCCAAAACTCTAGACGCGTTCTGAGCTCCAGACTCCAGAGTCGCTAAACAGGACTCGAAGCGAACGTGTGACCCCACCAATGGATTCCTCGTTCGGAGAGCAATCCATTGGTGGGGTCACACGAACGTTTCGATGTGCTATTTAGCGACTCTGGAGCTCAAAACGCGTCTGGAGTTTTGGCCGCTGCGCCGGTCTTCTGGCCCACTGTGTGCTGGCTCCACTGCCGCTCACCGCCCATGTCCAGCTGCCCCAGCTGCCTGCATTCCCGGCCAAACGGGCCGAACGCACGGATCTGCATCATGAACCCGTGCGACCCCGGCCCAGGCGGCTCGTGCCGTCTCTCTCGCTCTCGTGCGGGTCAGCCGTGGGTCCTGTGGGTGCGAGAGAGAGAGAGGAGAGAGAGGAGGGAGAGAGAGAGAGAGAGAGAGAGAGAGAGAGAGAGAGAGAGAGAGAGAGAGAGAGAGAGAGAGAGAGGCGGAGTGGCTGGGAAGCGTGGCGGACTCGGCGGAGCGCCCGAAGGTAGGCAGCCCATCGTGCGGCGAAGCGGCCCGGGCGGCCCGAGCGCACGGCGGCCTCCAGCCAGCCAGCACACTGCTAGAGCACGCGCCTGCGGACAGAAAAACAGGCGCGTTCCGCGCATTAGTGACCGGCAGGCTTTTACCTCTATCGGTTGCAGTCGCGCTGCGCTGGCAAGACTCCCGGCTCACAGTGGGCCAGAAGACCGGAGGAGGCGGCCAAAACTCCCGACGCGTTTTGAGCTCCAGAGTCGCTAAATGGGACTCGGACCGAACGTGTGACCCCACCAATGGATTGCTCTCCGAACGAGGAATCCATTGGTGGGGTCACACGTTCGGTTCGAGCCCAATTGAGCGACTCTGGAGCTCAAAACGCGTCTAGAATTTTGGCCGCCTCCACCGGTCTTCTGGCCCACTGTGCGGCTATGACCTCGGGGAAAAAAGACGCCGCGGGCCGCGCGCTAGTTTTCCGTTGCTGTTCCTCAGGAAGGAACTGGTTGTCTCGCTGTATTTTCGCGGCGGCGGGTCGGCGCGGGGCAGGTAAGACGGTATGAGGAATCGCTTCCGATACTTTGCGCCGGGACTACGATAAATCCCGCTCCCCCGCCGCCCCTCGAGGCCCCGCCCCACCCCGCCGCGGCCCGCCCCGCTCCGCCCCGCCCCGCCTTGACCAGCACCCCTACTTACCCCCACCCCCGCGGCGGCCCGCGGCGGCCCGCGCCGCACTCGGCCCGTGCGTAGCGTGATCCACACCAATAAACTAACTTGTTTATTCCATACCATTTTTCCTGAGTGCACTTTTCTGCGCCTCGCCTCGCCCGGGGGCCGCGCGCCGTGGTGGCGTGGCGTGGCGTGGCGTGGCGGGGCCCGGCCGCCTCCACAGACCGCAGCCCCCGGGCGCGCGCTGGCGCCGCACCGCTAGGCACCGCCACCAGGCACCGCCACTAGGACCCCCTGGGGGGCCACCTCGGCCACCTGGCGGCCGCCGGAGTGGCAGCACTCCCTCACGCCCCGCGGCGGCTAGCGGCCGGGCCGGCCGGGCCGACTAGTCTAGATCGGGGCGATCAGCCTCCAAGTGGCGAACGACCCTCCGATTGCCGGCGGCGGCTTGCCGGGGCTAGCCCAGCAGGCCGACTCCGGACGGCGCTCTGTCTCTCTCGCACCCGCACGGCGCGCCGCGTGAGTGCGAGCGAGAAAGACCGCCATTCGGAATCAGCCGGTCTGCCTAAGCGCAGAACGCTAACGGCGCCCCGCCGGCCTGAAGACTGATGCCGAGAGTCGTTTTCGTCGCTCTGTCTCTCTCGCACCCGTGCGGGACGCGCCATGAGTGCGAGAGAGACAGAGCGGCGAAAAGGACTCTGCTGACTCAGCTAGACTCAGCAGGCCGCACCGCTGAGCGTGGCCGAGGCCGCTGTGTTGGTCCAAAGTGGTCTAAAGCGCAAGTCAACTTAGCCCGGCCAGGCCGAGGCCAGGCCCTCCCCACGGCGGCGACCCGGCCGCGGACTGGCGGCCGGGGCGGCCACGCGAGCAGGGGATAATTGCTTGAGCCAGGGACACTTGTTTGCACACCCCTGCTGCGCTTTGAGCTTTGTGTCGACTCTGCAGAGGAGGGGACCCCAGTGAGCAACGCAGCAGAAGTAAGGCCCCGCCGCTCCAGCGAGAGACTCCAGCGAGGGGTTCCAGCGAGGGGTTCCAGCGAGGGGTTCCAGCGAGAGGTTCCAGCGAGGGCCAAGGGGTACCCAACTCAAGATAATCATTGCACGTCTAGTTGGTAATCAGTGAAATAATCAACATCATCCAATGAAATGACAATCATACTTTCGGGGATTCAATCACTTGACCATTTTTGCGAGACCACTGCTCCCAAACTATCAGCGGTCAAAGCCTCCCCGAGGCGGGGCATGAAAGAGTAGGGTCTTCAGAATAGTAAGGCGTCGAGGAAGGCCTTTGACCGCAACTAAATTGGATGCAGTGACCGCTCAAAGTCAGCAAAAACGGTAATTTTCTTAAATTCATTCACTGTTTGACTATTTTTGCGAGACCACTGCTCCCAAATTATCAGCGGTCAAAGCCTTCCCGAGGCGGGGCATGAAAGAGTAGGGTCTTCAGAATAGTAAGGCGTCGAGGAAGGTCTTTGACCGCAACTAAATTGGATGCAGTGACCGCTCAAAGTCAGCAAAAACGGTAATTTTCTAAAATTCATTCACTGTTTGACTATTTTTGCGAGACCACTGCTCCCAAATTATCAGCGGTCAAAGCCTTCCCGAGGCGGGGCATGAAAGAGTAGGGTCTTCAGAATAGTAAGGCGTCGAGGAAGGTCTTTGACCGCAACTAAATTTGACGCAGTGGCTGCCCAAAGTCACCAATATTGAATTTCCGACACTTTAACAGCTTTCCGAGGTCAGCGCTCAAATAATCCCCAATATTTCCCAATAACCAACATAATAACCTCCTATAATCAGTGATAAATAATAAAATAATCAAAAGAAACCACATGTAATCATACTCTAAATATAATCAGTGTACATGAAAATCTATAGTTGGTTACCCCTTGGCGAGGGCTTCCTACGACAGTCTCCAACGATGGCACGGGTTCTCTCCTCGCGGTGCGACTGAACCAACTTTCCGCCCGCGGCCTCGAGACTCGGAGGTCAGTCTCAAGACCCGTTACGCAAAATTTGAGGCAGCGAAACTGAGGAAGGAGCAGGGAATGCGAAAAGAGCCGAGGGAATGACGGATTGGACTTGTGTTTGTCTGCGCGCCACTTGACTCGAGAGCGGTAAGCCCGGACCGTCGTGGCGGGGCTGGCAGGGCTGGCGGGGACAGGGGGGGGGGTTCAGGCGCCTCCTTGGGGCAGCGCGCTCCTTGCCCCCAACATGGCTATACCGGCCAGCGATCCAGCAAACATCCCCGACGGGGGTGGGGCAGGCGGAGCAGGCGGGGTGTATTGCCAAACGATGTTGTTTGCTGTGCGGAGTCAACAATCCTTAAGGCCTGCGGGTACCGCCACGCCCGGCCGGCCCGGCCCCGCCGCGCAAGGGCCAGGGCCGGGGCAGGGCTAAGCGCGTAGGGCTATGTCCTGTGTGGACAGCGCGCCGGGGTCGTCGGGTGGGCCTGGGTTCGAATACCGGGCCCTTTCGCCCTCTTTTCGGGCGGGGGGCCGGACCGCCGCGGGCCCTTTGCGCCCCGCGTGGCTCTGCGTGGCGCTGCGTGGCGCCACGGGCCGCCACGGGTTGGCCAAATCAAAGGCGGCTCGACGGCCCGGCGGCAAGGCGGGCCGCGCCAATCCAGGCCGCCCTCCGCCGCCTTCCGGCCCGCCCCACCCCGCCCCACCCCGCCCCGCCCCGCCCCGCCCCACCCCGCCCCGCCCCACCCCGCCCCGCCCCACCCCGCCCCGCCCCACCCCGCCCCGCCCCGCCGGGCTGATTGAAGGGCCGATATGTGGAGAGGCTGCGCCGGAAAGCTGCCAAGGCTGCCAATTGTGGCGATGATTCGCCCGCGCAGGGCTTAGGGCTGCGCACAGTGGGCCAGAAGACCGGCGGAGGCGGCCGAAATTCTTGACGCGTTTTGAGCTCCACAGTCGCTAGACAGGACTCGAACCGAACGTGTGACCCCACCAATGGATTGCTCTCCGAACGAGGAATCCATTGGTGGGGTCACACGTTCGGTTCGAGTGCTGTGAGCGTATCTGGAGCCGCCCTTGCCGGCCGCTCCGGCGGGGACTCGAAGCCGGGGCCCGGTGGCCTGGCGGCCTCATCTCATCCCGCGAGGCCCGTGGCCAGGTCCGCCGATCGCGAATTTAAAGAGGTCGCCCCATCGCAGTGGCCGCGTCCTCCTCTGCATGCGGTACGTCAGGCGGTATGTCTGTGCCGCTGTGCCGCTCCTCCTCGGCCTCCTATCGCCGCCGGCGTCCTGCACGCCCCGCCCCGCCCCGCCCCGCCCGCCCCGCCCCGCCCCCGGGGCAGATCCTACATGGCGACGGCCTCCCCGCCTCCCCGCCGCCATCGCTTCGTAAACTTATTTCACCTTGTGCCCCTTGTTTGCGCTCCAAACAGAATACTAAAAACACGGCTGCATCAATACTGCAGGCTGTCCCGCCCGCGCTCTCGCGCTACGAG